TCCTTCCTTCCTTCCTTCCTTCCTTCCTTCCTTCCTTCCTTCCTTCCTTCCTATTTTCTTCCTCATTCTCCTTCCTGGTGGCACAATGGTTAGAATACCATATTGCAGGCTGACTCTGCCCAATGCCAGGAGTTTGATCCTGATCGGCTCAAGGTTGACTTAGCCTTCCATCCTTCCAAGATGGGTAAAATGAGGACCCAGATTGTTGTGGGCAATAGGCTGACTCCGTAAACTGCTTAGAGAGGGCTGACAACACTGTCCAATTATTTACAAAGTCTGCACTATTATTATATTCATATTCTCATCACTCCTTATCACCCCTCCCCTCCCACTTGTGACTGTATGACTGTAACTTTGTCGCTTGTATCCTAACGATTTATATTAACTGTTTCCTAGTATGATTTGATTGCTTATTGTACCCTCTGACTATTATCAAGTGTGCCTGATGATTCTTGATGAATGTATCTTTTCTTTTATGTACACTGAGAGCATCTGCACCAAGACAAACTCCTTGTGTGTCCAATCACACTTGGCCAATAAAGAATTCTGTTCTATTCTATTCTATTCTATTCTATTCTATTCTATTCTCATTCTCATTCTCATTCTCATTCAATTCTATGCTATGCTATGCTATGCTATGCTATTCTCATTCTATTCCATTCCATTCCATCTGATATTTTCTATTCCATATTCTAATTCTTATTCCATATTCTAACTCTTATTCTTATTCTTATTCTTATTCTTATGCTATCCTATCCTATCCTATCCTATCCTATCCTATCCTATCCTATCCTATCCTATCCTATTCTCATTCTATTCTATGCTGTGCCATGCCATTCCTATTCTAAAGCACTGTAAAGCAGTACATAAGTCTAAGTGCTATTGCTAGGACAGTGGCTCTCCAATTTTTGGGGCACCAGGGACCTGTTCTGTGGGGAGGTTTTTCCACAGACTGGAGGGGGATGGAGTTTTAGGTGCAGCTTGCATCCTGCGGATGGGGCGTCACTTGTTTCCACGGCCCGGTTTCTGGCTTTGCCGTGGCCCGATGCCAGTCCATGGACCAGGGGTTGAAGACACCCTGGTCTAGGATATACTATTAAGCAGAGGAAATACCTCTGGAAGCTCAGTCTGCAGTATAGCAAAAGAGAGAATCTGCAAATATATAACTCAAAGGTTCCCAATGCTTGTTATTTCAAAAACTAGCTTGTTTACCTGTGTCACTGGTAAAAACATGTACATCCAAAGGTTTGGGTATAGTTTCTTGGTCTCGATAATAGCTGTAATTCACGTTCACGGATCTAGAAGAGAAAACAGGAGTTCCTACGTCTTTATCTTGAAGAGCTACCTTACGGAAATCCATAATCGAAGTGAAAGGAATCAACAGGATTCTCCAACAAATCAAACACTTGTCATTTTAAAAGATTATTTCTTCAATTCAGTCCAGCTAATTGATTTTGGAAGGAGAAGCATATCGTTCCCAACAACTCAATTTGCAGAGATGAGATTAATTAACAACAGGCGAACTATTTATTGATGCAGATTAGCTATGCAGGATTATAATGATACAGCTATTAGCAATTGAAATGCTTACACAAAATTTTAATTATTTGTATTTGTGAATGTATGCTATGTAGGTTTAGTTTGCCTTCTTCTTAATTTCTTTTAGAGGGTTGTGATTTTAAAAAAAATTCTTTTTTTTTTTCAATTTTAAAAAATTATATTTACTTTATCCTATTCATAGAAGCAAGCACACACACACACACATACACACACACACACACACACTAGCTGGATACCAGGGCTTTGCTATTAAACTATATGATCGGGCTTAGTTTTGGGAAGGAAAATAAGGGGGAGGGATTCTGCCTCTGCCTACCAGCATCCATCGGTATTCATCTGGCTAGCGTCCTGTCAGTGTGTGAGAGTTGAGGGCTGTTTGGAAAGTGAAACAGTATTTGCTGTGAGAGCAAGGAGCCTGGGTGTGGCTTAGCTCAACTGTTCTGTACTAAAGCTGCTTGCTGCTGTGAAACTAAAACTGAAACTCCTCTCCTCTGCTTGTGTTTTGTCTTTGGAACAGCTTTCTTTTCAGGTGCGGGGAGGCAACAGATCTCCTTAGCATCAGAGCATGTTAATAATAATAATATATGAAATACTAATGCTCTGGTGATCATTTTGAAAAGTCCTTTCTTAGTGAGCACCTAGAAGCCAAGAGGAACATACGTGCCAATTATCAAGTTTGTAGGCTTTACAGTTCTGGAGATTTTGTGATGATGCCTGAGTGGTATTTTGCTGTGTGTGTGTGTGTGTATACACAATATAATATATATTTGATACTCACCTTAATCTTATGTCAGCCATGGAGATCTCTAAAGGTACTTCAAGCTGTTTAAAAATGAAAAGGCAGCTTTGGTTACCCCAGTAGAGAGGATTAGAAAGCAACTGTATTTCAAACGTAATTGAGAAAAATAATTGTCTGTCTGTCTATCTATCTATCTATCTATCTATCTATCTATCTATCTATCTATCATCTATCTATCCTGCCCAACCCCCTATAAGGTGACTCCCACTGTCTTACAATTTATAGAGATGAATTCATCCAATTTTATCCGATTTACTAGCAGTTTCCTGTAAGAAATCCATTTACATTTCTTTAATAAGACATTGATAGAATAGGAATAAGTTGTTAAGGCATCCACATGATTTTGAGCATTCTCCTTTACTTCTCAAGGAATTCCTCTTTTGCAAATAATGACCACCACCTGCCTGGAATATAGGTGTTCAAGAAAGACAGCCTTCTTCAATTTAAAAAAAAAGGTAAAGGTTTCCCTTGTCCAGTTGTGTCCGATTCTAGGGGACAGTGCAAATCTCCATTTCCTGGCCGAGGGATCCAGCGCTGTCTAGAGACACTTCCATGGTCATGTGGCCAACATGGATATATGCTGAGGCGTATGGAAAGCTGTTATCTTCCCACCGAAGTGGTACCTATTAATCTACTCACATTTGCATGCTTTCGAACTGTTACGTGGGCAAAAACTGAGGCAAAAATGGGAGCTCATCCCTTTGTGTGACGCAGGGGGCTCCAACCCGGACTGTCGGCTCTTCAGCAGACAAGCTCTGTGTTTTTAACTGCTGAGCCATCATCGCATCCCCCTTCTTCAATTACACCCTTCTAAATGCATACAGAACCTAGAATTCCAAGACAGACTGACAATTGTTGAAAGTTTTAACCCTGTATATTAAGAGCATGATGCTGAAAAAAGGCTAGACAATTACGTAGATGGGTATGTTCTATTTTTGAAATTATTGCTTTCTTAAAGGATGCAGGTGACATGTATTCCATAACCAAAACACACAAGCAGTAGATGTTCAATGCACATATGCTGCACACTAATCCATAATGCAAATTTGCTTGTTTTAAAATAATGTGTGAATGCAATCAAATGTGGGTTATTTAAATTCCGTTTAACCCTGCGTATATGGGACACATGTTTAAGATTTAAAAATTGATATTGTCCTTTGCATTGATCAGACACAGATCTACATCCAATCCTCCCCATTCACACACACCCCAAAACCCCTTCCATGTGCAATTTAACAGTATTTTCCGTATATAAAATCTGAAGAGAACTTACTATCAGTTTAAAGTCTTTATTGGGATAAAATTGGATGCAATTTAATATGTCCCTTTCTTCTTCCTAGAATGAAAAGAAGAGACTGAAATTCGATCATCTGTGGAGGTAAACATTATCCTGGCACTGGAAAATCTATATTATTATTATTTTTAAATTACAAACTAATGTTTCTCAACAGATTTTTAATGAGAAATGTAGGACCACAAGAAGGGAAGGAGAGTTCATCTGCATGTTTTTTTTTTACTTATGTTGAGCTGTCCCTGAACAAACAAGGCAATATTATGATTTTCATTAAGAGGAGACTCAACAAATGTAGATTGTAGCTGCAGACCAGGTGAATCAGAAAGATATTTGACCAAACTACTTTCAAATATTATCTTGTCTCCTAGGACTTAAAAAATGTTTCAGCCTCATTTGCTTCCTTTGTACATATTTCTATCAAGGCCAACTTGCCAGGAGTCTGAATCCAAGGAGGAAGAACAGCTGACAGGGAGTGGGAGTGTAGCTCTGTTGGCTGTGGAGGAAACTGGGGGAAGGGCAAAGTCAGGTTGGGCAGAGCAGGGAGAGGTAGAACAAGGGAGATGGGGTTCAGAGGAAGAACCAGGTCCACCCCCTCTTCATCCTAGGGCATGCAGGGAGGAATGGAGAAAAGAGCAACGTGGTGGTGTGGCTTATGGGGGAGGAAAGGGCCCTGATTCCCTTCATTAGCCGCACCTAGGGAGGGAGTTTAAAGGAGAGGCAGTTGGGAGGGGCGTTTGTCGAGAACAAATGCTGAATTCATCTAGTGTTGAGAGTTGTGGCCTGCATTCCTGACATTCTTCTTGACTGTTTGAATTATTACTGTGCTTCTTTGTGCTTATCTTGCCTTGCTGGAATTATTGGACTCATTCTTTTGCCCTCCTGGTGCGATTGATTGCAGTCATTTTGCTTACAGCATTTCGACTGGAGTATCTGCAGCCAGAGGCTGTTGCAGGTTTGTTGGAGAGCTTTTTTCCTGTCTGGAGATTAACTGGAACATTGGGGGCAAAGGTGGAGCAAATGAAGGGACTAATATGTATTTTCTGGTTGTGTTGCCTTCATGCCACGCCCCGGGTCATCACACTCTCTCTACCATCATAAATAAGATTATTTATCACAGTTTCATTACTGTTATAAATAACTCAAGGCGACAAATACCACCCTGTGAGGTGAATTGGGCGGAGAGGGAGGAACTGGCTCCCAAATCACCCAAGCAAATTTCATGTCTAAAGTGGGACTAGAACTCAGTCTCCTGGTTTCTAGCCTGGTGTTTTCACCACTGGACCAACTGGCTAACATTTTCTTATGTTTCAGTTCTGGAACCAACTCTATAATTTGCCTCAGAGTTTCAGTATGTTTAGAAAATCTTTCTTTATAACAAGAGAGAGAAGATATCTCTCTCTTGCAAATTCTTCTAAGTATCACTTCAATCGCCTTTAGATAAATAACTCTGCATCATTTTGAGGTGTGCGTCAAATCGCTACAATTAAATAACCCACAGCATGAGGAATATGTCATGCCCTTGTTAGAGTCAGACTCTGAGGAAGAGGAAGAACAGCCAACAGGGAGTGGAGGTGTGGCTCCGGAGGTTGTGGAGGTTAGGGAAGGGCAGAGGCCGGCTGGGCAGTCAGAGGAAGAACCAGGCCCATCCCCTCTTCATTCCAGGACAAGCAGGGAGGAAGGAAACAACTTGGCTTACGAGAGAGGAAGCGGCCCTGATCCCCCTCATTGGTTGCAGCTAGGGACAATAGTATATATGAGGGACAGTTAAAACACAGCGTTGCCAGAAGCAAAGGGTGTTTTATTTTGGGCTGAAGTTATTTTGGTTGGCGTCCTTCCAACAGACTGTGCCTGGTTATCTCCTTGCAGTTGGTAATTACTTATCCTGGTCCGTTGTGGAAATTCCTTCACTGTAGTTTGTTTGGGTTTTTTATTTCACCTCTATCTGCTCATTAAGTTCAGACTGTATTGCTTTCTTTTGAAGAGTACTTTTGAATAAATTTTATCACCAACTGAGAATTATTGAACAGTGGGGCCAAGTTGGAGGCATTAAAGGACATTTATTTACATTTTCGATTTTGTTACATTTGTGTTACACTCCGGGTCATCACAGAATATATGACCAAGAGAATAAAAAAAGATTCTTGTTTTTCACCTTTGTGACAATGTAGAATAGTCTTTGTTCTAGCATGTCCCACTGGGACCACACGAGATCATCGGCAATTCTCTCCTTCGAAAGCCAGCTCGAATTTTCAATCATCTAAAAGGGAAGGAAAGTAGCACGATCTCAGGAGAGAAACAGTACAATGTCACGTAGAACACAGAACAATATGGTTGGAAGGGACCTTGGAGGTCTTCTAGTCCAATCCTCATCTCAAGAAGGAAATTCTATTCCCAAGTCATGTGATCCCCCTTTGTGACCTTTTCATAAGCAATGGGGAGGCAGATTCACTCAACAACCAGTTACTAACTTATCAACAATGGGACGGGGTGGCTCAGTGGCTAAGACGCTGAGCTAGTCAATCAGAAAGGTTGGCAGTTCGGTGGTTCGAATCCCTAGTGAAAATGCAAGTAGAAAAATAAGGACCCCTTTGGTGGGAAGGTAACAGCGTTCTGTCTGCCTTCAGCATTTAGACATGCCGGCCACATGACCATGAAGACGCCTTCAGACAGCGCTGGCTCTTCAGCTTTGTCATGGAGATGAGCACTGCCCCCTAGAGTCAGGAACGACTAGCACGTATGTGTGAGGGGAACCTTTACCTTTACCTAACTTATCAACTGCAGTAATTCACTTAGCAACTGAGGCAAGAAAGGTCATAAAATGGGGCAAAACTCACTAAACAAATGTCTCACTTAGTAACATAAATTTGGGATTCAATTGTGGTCGTAAGTCGAGGACTACCTGTAGATTAAGTGGATAAGTGAGGCTCTTTAGCCTACCGTGACAGGGATTAGAGTTCATCTGTATGATTTCTGGTGATCTCTCGGTTGACAACTTGTATTCTGATGGGAATGAGTTTTATCTTACCCTGTCATAATTCGTCAAAAACCAGATCAGATTTCTGCCCAGGTAATTATATTTTATGTGAGGGAAAAATAGCATTTAGAACAGAACCTGGATATTTTTTTCACTCTGCCCAGTCTCGTTTCAATCACAACAAAAAAGCCCAAAAGGAAGAAAATTACAACATACCACCCTGTTTCCTTCTCTGACAGTTTTGATGTCCAATTTTTCGGCATCTTAAGAAACATAAAGGCAATCTTAGGTAACAGATATCAAGGAACAGGTATTGGGTATATCAAACATTATTTAAAAAGCTGTACACTGGGTCAGGGGTGGCTCCTGGGGGCTCACAGGGGCTTGGGAGAGCCCCTAGCTGAGATTCTGCGGGGCTCAGAGAGTCTCCAATAACCTCAGAAAGACAAGCAGCAAGCAAAAGCTCTTAATAGGCTTCATTGAACTTCTGGGCATTCAGCCCAAAGCATTTCACACCTGGTAAAAGTGTTGCAAGCTAGATAAACAATCCATTCAGCCCTTGCGATGGAGAGCCATTGAGGAAATCAGATAACCTAGCACCGTGATGGCGAACCTATGGCATGTGTGCTGGAAGTGGCATACAGAGCCACTTCTGCTGGCACGCGAGAGGTCGCTCAGAAGAGCCCCAGTGCACATGTGCGCACCGCCCACCCGACAGCTGATTGTCGGGTATCTGGCATGCATGTGCAGGGGCGGGGGTTCATGTGAGACATGCGTGCATGCACAGAGATGCGTGGGTGCAAGGGGGTCTTGCGCGCATACAAGATGTGCACCGCGCATGGGGTGGCACATGAAGGAATCACGCGTGCATGCATACAGGGCATGGGGGGGCCAGCGCACATTGCCTTCTGGGTACAATTTTTGGCATGGGAGCTGAAAAAGGTTAGCTACCACTGACCGAGCCACTAGCCTCCGAGGGGATTAATTTCCAAATAATAAGAACTACGTAACTCACCAGAAACACCACTAAGACTCCAAGATCCCTTTCACAGTCACTGCTATTAAGCCTGGTTTCACCCAGTGTTTTATTTAAGTATTAAATGCACAAAATAATAAACAACTTTTTGGTATATTATCTTTTTTTAGGCAATTAGGGCAAAGAAGCGACGTCGAGTTGGCCACACCCACACAGTCACATGACCACCTAGCCACACCCACCCAGTCACATGACCACCTAGCCACAACCACCCAGCCACATGACTATCCAGCCAGTCATTAGGGCAGAGAGCCCCTTGCTAGAAAATTTGAAGCCCACCCCTGCAGTGGGTCCATACTGTATATTTCTTCATTTCTACTATTGGGGTTCAAAGGGTGTTGCGGGAGAAGTTGAAAAGGCAAATAGCATGTAGCAACAAAAATCTTGGGTTAGATCAGGGGCGTCAAACTCCCATGGGGCCACCCTGGAAACAGCCCAGGACCGGCCGTCGATGCCTCTGCCACCGAAACTCCCTATTGCCTTTTAGTACACTAAACCTAACCTACACTAAACCAAGGAACTTGCAATCAAAATGCAGAAGTAAAAATACTTACATTTATCTTCTGAAATGAGTAAGAGGCAGCTATCTGACCATGACGTTTTATCTGTAAGGGGATATAGGAACTGAAAAAGAGAATTGTTCAGAAATTTGTTTAAAAAATATATTATGGTTTGCCATTGACATCACATATTTGTCTACTGGAGTCTCATAACTAGATCCTATTAACATTACTTGTTATTTGAAAGACTGCCTCCACCTAGTTGTAACTGCCCATCCCATCAGGTCCGGAAGTAGAGGTACGCCTTGAGTCCCAACTGCAAAGAGTTTTAGCTACCAATGGAAAAGAGTCTTTGTAGCTCAAGGTTCAAATGTGAGGTCCTTGGTGCTCTCTGAGCTTGGCTGTTTTCTCGCAGACATTTCATTACCAAACTAGATAACAGCATCAATGCTGAGGATGGAACATGGTTTGGTAATGAAACATCTGCAAGAAAACAAGCCAAGCTCAGAGAGCACCAAGGGCCCCCACAGTCCTTGTCATCTCCTCCTCGTCCTCCTCTTCTTCCTCCCCGCTCCCCCTAAACACCACTCCTTACTAGCACTGATAATGTTACCTACTTAGGTCATGAAATGTGTGCAAGAAAACACCCAAGTTCAACGAATGTTCTGACCCAAGTTCAAATTAAACAGACACAAATTGGGTATAAAAGCAAAGCTTTTCTCATGTGGCGCTGGGAATTCAGTGCATTCCCAGCTAAGAGACATGTAAACCTAATTGTCCAATATCAAAAGCAAGCCCTTTCAAGGCTGAGAAAGGCTGCCAAGAACAGAAGACTAATTACTGATTAAATATCCACCAACAGAAGTTTCAACAACAAACCGGAGTAAGCAGGGCTTCAACGAGGGACTCTGAATCTAAAGAACTTCTTTGCTTCCTGCAAAGAACACATCCCCAAGGGCTGGTTTTTATCCCTTATGGGAGAGGCCATCACCTTCTGCCCTTGCTGCTTCAGCTGCTCTTTCCTTCGAGCAGCGCTGCATGTACGTACACTGGCTCCCCAGGGTCCTCTGCGTCGCTGCTGCCAGATTCCATGACCTCCAAGGCAGCACCCTCCTCTCCGATAGTCCTGCCTCCATCCCTGCATCACACCCAGGCCCCTCGTCCGAGTCCTTGCTATCAGAGACCTCTGCCGTCTGCACCTGCTGCCGGCGAATCACAACAGAGAACACCAAGGACTTCCACTATCCTTGTCTCCTCCTCCATCTCCACCTCTTCCTCCTCCTCCACCTCCTCCCTGCAAACGCCACTCCTTCCTAGCACTTATTATTACCTGTTTGGGTCATGAAAAGTCTGGAAGAAAACAGTCAAGCTCAAAGAGCACCAAAGACCTCTACAATCCTTGTCTGCTCCTCCTCTTATTCCCCTTCCTCCTCCCTATGCCGCCTCCTCCTCCTCCTCAACCCCAGTCCTTACTAGCACTGTTACCTAGTTGGGTCATGAAAAGTCTGCAAGAAAAGAGACAAGCTCAGAGAGCCCCAAGGACCCCCACAATCCTTGTCTAATCCTCCCCTTCCTCCTCCCCCCTTCCTCCTCCTCAATGCCACTCCTTACTAGCACTGATGACGTTACCCAGTTGGGTCACGAAAAGTCTGCAAGAAAACAGCCAAGCTCAGAGACCACCAAGGACCCCACAGTTTCATTTGAGAGAACCTAAGAGATGGGCTGAGTTTCTACCACGGCACTCACCCTGTGGAACACTGTCCCTCCCAAGGCCCCATCTTTGACACCCTTCCAGAAGTCTCTTAAAACATGACTGGGCCAGTAGATCAAGGAAATGATGTGAGGAGATGCCTGCATTGTTTTTAACATCAAATCTCTCCACTATCTTGTTATCAGTAACATTGCTGTTGTCTTTTAATTGTAGAGTTCAACATTCTCCTTTAGGATTGTTTTTATCACAAGCTGTCCAGAGTCATTTTACTGTGATATGGGGCAACTATGTAAATGTAATAATATTTTAAGACTGAATGAGTTTATTATTAAAAGACAAGTCTCATTTGGGAGCCATATGTAGTACTGTATAAAGCTGCTTATTAGCTTATTAATAATTTTTTTACGAAGATGCAATGCATTTAGTGCTTTCTAACATTGTGCTACCATACAAATAATTTTAAATCTGGAGTAAAATCACTCACCTGTACTCTAATACAGCTATCCACAGCCTTTAAAACTTTCACATTATTAAGCGGGTGAATTTCAATTAGCAAGGTCAGACATTTAGGAACTGGGATTAAAAAAACACAAAAGAAGATAATATTAACCCATCATTCAGTGATTTGTGAAGTCCATTTAAGAGTGCTTAGATAATTCATGTACCTGTTTCAAAAAGGAACTTTTTCTTTTCCTGTGCTGTCTGCAGGAAACTGATGGCTATTAAAAAAAAAAAAAGATATTGAAAATGCAAAGCATTGAATTGCCATCAAAGCTGACATCAGACAGACCATGGAACAATTCAAAAAAATACGCCAAGATCAGAAGATGTGGAGATACCTGGCCCACACAATCGCCAAGAATCGGACACGACCTTACGGATAACATAATCGTAATCAAGTATTGAAAATTCAACCTGAGGTTTTATTGAGGAAAGTTCAACAAAAGTTAACAGTTCGGCAGAACATGGATCCATAGAGCAGTCGCCACCAACCGGTGGGCCGGGGACCACTGGTAGTCCGTGAGAAAATTTTGATGGTCTGCAGAGAAATGTCCGTGTCCCCCCCCAGCAATTAATCCAGGCTGCGCAGTAACACAAGGCTGCACTGCCTACATGGCCCACCCATCCGCTGGTCTCCACCCTTCGGCCGAGCGCAAACCTTACCTTGAGTAGTCCACATGAGCTGGAACTGGAAGGTGATACCAATGGCAGGGAAGGGAAATCTACCCCGGGGTAGATTGCTGACGTTGGTGGGAAAGTCGGTGCCATATTCCAGAGCTGCAGTAGTCACAGGTCTGGCCCTTTGGTCATCCCAGAGCAGCTCCTCCAGTCCATAGCAGGCTGGTGCACCCGGGTGGAGGAACAGCTGCTCCGGGATGACCAAAGGTCCAGTCCTGTGACTACTGCAGCTCTGGAATATGGCACCGACTTTCCTACCAACGTCAGCAAGCCACCGTCAGTCAAAATTCATATTAGTGGTCCGCGGGATTTGAAATTATAAATTTGTTGGTCCCTGAGGTCCAAAAGGTTGGCAACCCCTGCCATAGAAGTCATGTAGTCCAACTCTGCTAAGGGACAGGATCTAAAACAGCATCGCTGATAGATGACCATCCAACCTCTGAGAGATGAATTAAGGAGAACTCATCGCTACATATGGAGGTCTGTTCCATCGGGGGGACAATTTGCACAATCAATTTGCACAATCCTGAAGTTCAACCTGAACAAACAACTAAGGAATGTGTGGCCTAATAAAGAGAAGGATCAGGGGTGACATGTTAGCTGCCTTCTAGTATTCCAGGGGCTGTCACAGAGAAGACAAGACCGGCTTGTTCTCCAAAGCAGTTGAGGGCAGGACAAGAAGTAACAGATGGAAAATTATCAAAGAGAGCTCCAATCTAGAACTAAGGAGAAATTTCCTGCTAGGGAGAACAGTTAATCAATGTAACAACTTGCTTCCCAGAGTTGTGTGGGCTCCATCACTGGAATCTTTCAAACATAGACTAGCCAACCGTTTGTCCGGGATGTCCCAAAGGTGCTTTTTTCAAAAGACAACTGGACTTTCTGTTTTTTCTTTGAAGACATTTTACTTCTCATCCATGAAGCTTCTTCAGCTCTGGCTGGATGGTGGGGAGTGGAAGGATTTATATCCCTTTCTAGACAGCTGGTCATTTGCATCCTCTTAGAGTCATTGAGGCCACTGGAAGATTTGCCTGTGTCCTCAGGTCTCCTGAGTGGTGCAAATGGCTGTGGAGTCTTCTTGGAATGGTTTCAAGGACTGTGTTGTAGACAGAAGATAGATGATGTCGTCTATCTCCAGTCTACAACATAGTCCTCCCCACGGCCTGTTTTGGGGGCATTTTTCGGCTGTTTTCAGGACATTTTTGGGATGTTTTTAGGATGTTTTTCAGGATGTTTTCAGGATGTTTTGGGGGACATTTTTAGGACATTTTCAGGATGTTTTTCAGGATGTTTTCAGGATGTTTTTGGGCTATTTTCAGGACATTTTGGGGGATGTTTTCAGGACGTTTTTCAGGATGTTTTCAGGACATTTTTGGGATATTTTCAGGATGTTTTTCAGGACATTTTCCGGGATGTTTTTCAGGATGTTTTCAGGATGTTTTTTGGGCCATTTTCAGTATTTTTCAGGATATTTCCAGGATGTTTTTGTTTTTCAGGATGTTTTCAGACCATTTTCCAGGATGTTTTCAGGATGTTTTCCAGGATGTTTTCAGGATGTTTTTGGGCCTTTTTCAGGACATTTTCAGGCCCTTTTTCAGGCCAAGGACGGCCTGAAAACGGCCTGAAAAACATCCTGAAAATGCCCCCCAAATGCCCTGAAAAACAGCCCAGAAAATGGCCTATTTTTGGAGACCAGCTGACTGGCACACATGTGCACACCAGATACCAGAAGAGCAGCTGGCAATGGGGTGCCTGCCCACTGAGAGGGTTCTGAATGCCACCTCTGGCCCACGTGCCCTAGGCTCACCATCACGGGTCTATATCAACATACAACATCGCTCAAATAGGAGGACTTACCTAACAAGGTCTTTTCACAATTGATGGAACAGCTGATCACCCGCAGGTCTTTTTCAAAAGTGTAGAGGTGCTATTGAAAAAGAAATGACAGTAACCTGTATTACAAAACTGGGGGTTTCCTTAATCAAGCTAAGCCACAAATGCATCCCACTTGGGTTCCGCTTAGTAGGAGGGATGCACGATTCAGTCCCCGAGTTTTGGGGAACCCTAATTAACAGCTTAGCATTTTAGACGAACCAATCAAACGAGGATGTTCAGCACACCCTAACAAACAAAAAGCATGGTTTAGTTTAGCAGAAGGCGCGAACGCAGGTGTGACTCATGGTCGCTGAAATGCAGGAATGCTCTGTGGGTGATTCTTCTGGATACGACTTTACTCACCGAAGTCCTTGGATAGCTTTTTGCCACAACATCTGAATCAGAGGTGGTTATTCAGCCAGTTCTGACCAGTTCCGGAGAACCGGTAGTAGAAATTTTGAGTAGTTTGGAGAACCGGCCAATACCACCTCTGACTGGCCCCACCCCCATCTATTCTCTGCCTCCCATTGAGTCCCTGCTGATCGGCTGGGGCTACTTTGGTTGCCCTGCACAGGAGAACGGAGCTGGAAAGCAGGTTAGTGGGGTGGGGAGGGAATGGGGATTTTGCTGTATCCTTCCCCTGCCATGCCCACCAAGCCAAGCCACACCCAAGCCATGCCATGCCCATCAAGCCACGCCCACAGAACAGGTAGTAAAAGAAATTGAATACCACCACTGATCTGAATACCATCTGAGGCTTCTCAGAAAACAACTGAATGGAAAATTGCTGGGGACCTTCTACCGCTGCACCATAGAGAGTATCTTAACTTACTGCACCTCTGTATGGTTTACCAATTGCATAGTGGCAGATGGGAAAGCACTCCAGAGGGTTAACGTCATTGCCCAGAGGATCATGGGTTGCCCTCTCCCCTCTTTGGAAGAGCTTTATAGCTCTCACGGCCTTAAGAAAGTTCAAAACATTCTCAAAGATCCACCTCATCCTGGGCACCCTTTTTTTGAACTATTACCATCTGGCAGACAGTACAGGATAATAAAAACAAGGACAAACAGGCTGAAAAACAACTTCTATCCCAGGGCAGTAACTCTACTGAATTCTACTGTATAGTGACATATTAATGCAATATCAGGGGTTTTCAATTCAATTGTATAGAATGCAAAGGAGGTGTGTTTGTGTTTTATTTTTACAGTTATAATTATAATAGCCACTGAAGATGTTATTTAATTTCATTGTACGGGGTGCAATGACAATAAAGTGAAAGTAAAGTGAAAGTAAAGTGAAAGTAAAGTGAAAATAAAAGTAAAGTAAAAGTAAAGGTGAAGTGAAGTGAGGTGTGGTGAGGTGAGGTGAAGTGAAGTATTAACCATTTTCCGAGCTTTTCCCTCAGTTGGCTGTAGGACCTGTTTGTTTTGCACTGAACGTAGCCTAACACAGATTTGGGCTGAGAGAGAGTGGCTGGCCCAAAGTCACTCAGTTGGCTTCCATGTCCAAGGCAGGATTAAAACCCGGGCCTCTCACTCTCCATCTCCTAATCCAGCACCCTAACCATTACACAGCTAATCCTCAATTTACAACCATTCAGTTAGTGGCCATTCAAAGTTACAACAACGCTCAAAAAACAAAAAAAAGACCGATGCCCTTTTTTCACACTTAAAACTGTTACGGCATCCCCATGGTCATGTGATCAAAATTCAAATGCTTGGCCACTGGTTCGTACTTATGACTGTTACTGTGTCCCAGAGGTCACATGATTCCCCTTTGGCGACCTTCTCATGACCTTCCCCTTCTCACGGGGAAGCAGATTCACTCAACAACCGGGTTACCAACTGCAGGGATTCACGTAACAACTGAGGCAAGAAAGGCCCTGAGATGGGACAAAACTCACCTAACAAATGTCTCACTTAACAACATAAATTTGCACTGCGGCCTCACGTGAGCAAAATCTGGACACTTGGCAACCGGTTCAGTGGTGGGATTCAATTTTTTTTACTACCGGTTCTGTGGGCGTGGCTTAGTGGGCGTGATGTGGCTTGGTGGGCATGGCTCCACCCCACTAACCTGCTTTCCAGCTCCGTTCTCCTGTGCAGGGCAACCAAAGAAGACCCAGCCGATCAACTGCGACTCAATAATAGAGGGGGGTCGAGCCAGTCAGAGGTGGTACTGGCCGGTTCTCAAACTACTCAAAATGTCCGCTACCGGTTCTCCAGAACTGGTCAGAACCTGCTGAATTACCAACTCTGAACTGGTTCATATTTATGACGGTTGCTTTATCCCGGGATCACGTGATCTACTTTTGCAGCCTTCTGACAACCAAAGCCAATGGGGAAGCCATATTCACTTCACAACTGTGTCACTAATAATGATAGAGATTCCCTTAACAAATGTGGCAAGAAAAATTGTAAAATGGGACAAAACTCACTTAAGAACAGTCTCACTTAGCAACAGAAATGTGGGGTTCAACTGCAGTTTTAAGTCAAGGACTACTTGTAACAGAGTTCTCTCCTAAATTTGATACTATTGGCTGAATGTTATTACGGTATATTGAAATTTTGAAATTTTGTTATTATATTGAAAATTTCTAACAGAAGAGATAGATCTGTTATTTTTTTTATAGTTTTGCTGTATCATCTTCTTCTTCTCTTCTATATATATAAAAGCAAAATACCACTCATGCATCATCACAAAATCTCCAGAACTGTAAAGCCTACAAACTTGAAATTTTGGCACGTATGTTCCTCTTGGCTTCTAGGTGCTCACTAAGAAAGGATTTTTCGAAATGACCATGAGAGCATTAGTATTTCATTTATTATTATTAACACACTCTGATGCTAAGGAGTTTTACTCCCCTGCCCCACCTGAAAAGAAATCTGCTCCAAATGCAAAACACAAGCAGAGGAGAGGAGTTTCAGTTTCAGAGCACCAAGCAGCTTTAGTACAGAACAGTTGAGCTAAGCCACGCCCAGGCTCCTTGTTGTCTCCTTCTTGCCCACATAGCAAATACTGTTTCAGTTTCCAAACAGCCCTCAACTCTCTCACACACTGACTGAATGTTGATGCTGGTAGGCAGAGGCAGATTTTTTTCCCCTCATTTTCCTCCCCCAAAACTAAGCCCGACCACATAGTTTCGTAGCGAAGCACAGGTATCAAGCTAGTAGATTTATATAACCAGACCTCATGCTTGTTGATTTCACTGCAAAAGATACAGTTTTCTTGAAAACACTCCTGCCTGGAACATTTGATTATCTAACTTTTTAAAATCCTTACAAAAAACGAATACAGCAAATAAGGCATACCTGGTTTTTCTTATTATCATCATCATACAATCCAACGTTTGTGTATTCCTGAGGGCCCTGTAAAGAGAGCAATTGAGCGTTAAATATTCCTATTTTAATATAATTTTAAATATTTCCTCTCTATTGGGAAAACACCTTTTCTGTCAAAACTTTACCAGTTTTATTTTGGTGTTATCTGCAGTCTGGGAAATCTATGCCTAAATTTAAAAGTTGATATCTATTGTTCCATTGTCACAAGGGGGTAGAAAATTTGAGACGACTTAATTCCTATATGTCAAAGCTTCTTTTGGTACATAAAAAAGACAAGAGGAAAAATAATTAAGGTTTTTTTTTTTTTCCTTAATGAAAAAGGCTTGGAAAAAGCCTCTGGGAGGCCGAAAAAGGCCTCAAACCAGCCAAAACATCAGATGTGAAGCGCAGTGCAGGTAAAGGGGTGGGGGTGGTGATTGCGCGGGCATGCGCAGGGGGTGTGGGGAAGGGGGTTGCACATTGCATTCTGGGTGCTGGCACGCGAGTACAGGTGGGCTGGTGCGCTCGCCATTTTTGACACAGGAGTCCAAAAAGGTTAGTCACCACTGACGTAGGGTCCCCTGCATGTCCCCTTCCAACTCTGTTGATCTGTATTCTGTAAATAATGTTGCACTTCCTTTCATTTTGCTGACCAATGGACCTCATTCTTCAGGCCTAACTCAAGAGTTCATCGATGGTAAAAAATCTACGTGCCCCAGGGAATTCCGTATGACCATTTCTCAAGTAAGAAACGAATTGGTCTTACCTTCCAAGTATAAAGAACATTTCCATTTCTTTCCACATTTATTATAAGCGGCGTTTCCAAATGATTTCCCCAAGCATCTAGGAAAAGGCAAGCATGAATGCATTTCTAAACTTATTCAGTCCAACTGTAAAGGAAAGCCAATTTCTGAAAAGAATATGCAAATAGGAGGTTAAGAGATGAGCAGGTGGAGTTGGAAGGCAGAGTTAAATGTGTCATCAGTTGGGAATCATTGCGTAGCCACAAGATACTCAAGTTCAGCTCCTCCATGAATACTTATCTAGTGCCAATTTAGCTTTGGGCATCAGTTGACCAGATTTCTCTGTATAGGTAGCAATACAGGTAGTTCCTGACTTATGACCCAAAATTTATGTTGCCAAGTGAAACATTTGTTAAGTGTGTTTTGCCCCATTTTATGACCTTTCCTGTCACAATTGTTAAGTGAATCTGACCTCCTCACTGATTTTGCTTGTCAGGTGGTCTCAAAAGTGGTTCACATGACCTCAGGACACTGCGACCGTCATAAATATGAACCAGTTGCCAAGCATCACATGACTAAGGGGATGTTGTAAGTGTGAAAAACAGTCCCTTTTTTCAGTTGTAACTTTGAACAGTCACTAAATGAACTATTGTCATGATGGCGAACCTCTGGCATGTGTGCCAGAGGTGGCACACAGAGCCATTTGTGCCAGCATGCGAGCTGCGGGCAAACTTACCTCGCTGCATACCTCACAGCTGATTTTTGTCCTCCCAGAAGCTTGAAAAAAGCCTCTGCAGGCTTTGCAGGATGAATAATCGTGATGACTCGTAGTCTCTCAAAATAACCCAAAACATATATTAAAGTCCGGTAAAGCCTTCAACTTAACTTCACTGTTTTATTAGGCACAGTTTAAAGTCACAAAAGTAATTAAGGAGGCAAACAGAAAACCAAAACAAACCACACTGATGAGAGCTCTGAAGCAAGCCAAGAAAACTAATTATAAACTCTAGGAAAATAGCTGAGAAAAGTCCATGGGAAGAACGCCAGCAAAGATAAGCCTCTTTCAAGGTGTACACTAATTGACTTCAGCAACCTCTCCTCCCTGCGTAACCTAGGATGTATAGGGGATGGGCCTGGATCCTCCTCTGACTGCTCAGCTGGCCTCTGCCCTTCTCCAGCCTCCTCTACCACCTCTGGAGCCACACTCCCACTCCCTGTTGGCTGTTCCTCCTCTTCCTCAGAGTCAGCCTCCACCAGGGGCATGACAATAATAGGCCCGTTTAGTCACTTCCTGTATTTCTGGAAGTGAGAAAACAGGCCTATTATTTGACCTGAAAAGCCTGCAGAAGCATTTTTTTAAAGCCTCTGGGAGGCCAAAAAAGGCCTCAAACCGCCCAAAAATCAGCTGGGAGACATAGTGCAAGTAAGGGGGCAATGGAGGGGGAATTGCACACGCATGTGCAGGAAGCATGCGCATTGACTTCTGGATGCTGGTACGCAAGCGTGCACACAATTTTTGGCACAGGAGCCCAAAAAGGTTAGCCACCAGTGAACTATTGTAATTCGAGGACTACCTGTAAGACACTCTTGCTATGCTTTGAACTCAACAAATGCTCTTGATTCTTTGCACCTGACACAGATCGTGTCTGCAGTCCATTTGAATACAGTAAAAACAACTTTTTCCAGCTGTTTTCAGCAGCTTGATTAGGGAGTAAAGTCTCTCCATCATGAATAGGGTAACTGTTTAGAGGTCACGTCTCCAAGTTGGCCGCATCTTAACATCACATGGGTATTATCAACTTTTGGAACAGTGGAAGACATAATTTTAGAACTTATCTGTAGGAAGAAATTGATCTATCACATGAATTTATTTGAAGAATCTTATTGTGTCAAGGGTTCTTATTTTTCTTCCTTTTTTAGTGCTTTGAATAAAGCAGCATATCCTTTTTAATTCTGGTAAACCAGTGGCCCACAACCTTTGGAGCACCATGGACTGGTTCTGCGAAGAGAGGCTTTCCCGTGGACTGGAGTGTGGTTTCGTGTGCTGTCTTCATCCCACAGATGGGACTTTGCTTGTTTACATGGCCTGACCCAATAAAGGTCCAAAGACTTGCGGGGGGGGGGGGCGTTAAGGGACCCTTGCTCTACATTTATAAGACTCTGAAGAATGATTGTAATTAGAATTTAATCTGTGCAAGGAAGTATAAATACCAATGTACAAACATAAACACATGCATATGTATTTTGTTGGTATGGTTGTTAATTGTGAAGTCATGTCCGACCCATCGCGGTCCCATGGACAATGTTCCTCCAGACCTTCCTGTCCTCCACCATCTTCTGGAGTCCATTTAAGGTCACGCCAACTGCTTCAGGGACTCCATCCATCCACCTCCTTCTCTGCCATCCCCTTCTTCTTCTTTGTCCCTCAATCGTTCCCAGCATTAGGCTCTTCTCCAGGGAGTCCTTCCTTCTCATGAGGTGGCCATTTTGGGTTTTATCTTCAGGATCTGGCCTTACCAAGAGCAGTCAGGGTTGATCTCCTCTAGGACTGACCGGTTGGATCGCCTTGAAGTCCAAGGGAATCGCGGGAGTCTCCTCCAGCACCAGAGTTCAAAGGCCTCCATTCTTTGGCACTCAGCCTTTCTTGTGGTCCAACTGTCACAGCGACAAATTGCAACTGGGAAAACCATAGCTATGGTTTACGTATTTACATTCCCTCATATTTTGGTCAAAAGCATTTTCTAGATAATTGATCTGATCTCTTCAACTGGTAAAAATTGTTATAATCATAACAATTTCTACCTTAAAATGATACCTATCAGATACACAATAAAATCTGTCAACAATAAAACAAATAAAAATGGTGTTTTAATTGTTTCATTATTTACAGAAAATATGCTCAATCATAAATCCGAAGCCAAGTGTCTGCTTGGTGGAATATAGAGTAATGGGTGCCATTTACTTGGGTTGATTTCAATGCATTTCATGACCAACTGGGATGAATTGCAAAAAATGGAAAGGTACACATATTTTGGGATACAACTGTACATCTTTCAACTATGTTGAACTTCAAAAAGATTAATGTAAATGTTAGTATCTTGATGAAAGGCCCCAAAGACAGAAAGAGGGATGGTCTTACTTACCCAAATTATATCAAACTATTTCAGATCAATTCAAGAAAGACAACGCCTTGATCTTCAAAAATGAGCAGACCGGAAAGAAATGATATTCTAAAACAGCTAAAAGGTAAAGGTTTCCCACACACTTCTGTGCTAGTCGTTTCTGACTCTAGGGGGCAGAGCTCATCTCTGTTACAAAGCCAAAGAGCCAGCACTGTCCAAAGACGTCTCCGTGGTCATGTGGCCGGCATGACTAAACACCCGAAGGCTCACGGAACGCTGTTACCCTCCCACCAAAGTGATCCCTATTTTTCTACTTGCATTTTTTACATGCTTTCGAACTGCTAGGCTGGCAGAAGCTGGGACAAGTAACGGGAGCTCATTCCGTTAGGTGGTGCTAGGGATTCAAACCGCCAAACTGCTGGCCTTTCTGATCAACAAGCTCAGCGTCTCAGCCCCTGAGCCACCGCGTCCCTCTAAAATTTTAGTGGGCGCAGTAAGATCAAAGGTAAATAAATGTGTTTCAGAATTGGGATTGCATGGAAGTTTCTTGGCTCAGATGGACCTTTTATGGGTAATTGTCAATTTATGACCTCCGTTGAGCCCCCAATTTCACTTGCTAAAACGAGAGCGTTGTTAAATGAATTTTGCCCCATTTTACATCCTTCCTTGCCACAATTGTAAAGCGGATCACTGCAGTCATTAAGTTAGTAACATGGTTGTTAAGTGAATCTGGCTTGCTTATTGGCTTTGCTTGTCAGAAGGTCGCAAAAGGTGAATGCATGACCCCTGGGACACTGCAACCGTCATAAGTATGAATAAGTTGTCTAGCGTTTGAATTTTGATCACATGACCGCTGGGAAGCTGCAAACTATTTTCGTAACTAAATGTTTGTAACTCACATTTTTCCGTGCCGTTGTAACTTTGAATGGCCACTAAGTGAACTGTTTTAAGTCGAGCGTTCTTGGAGTCTAGTAATGCAAGACCCATCAACTTTCTCCTACACAGATCAAAACATCACATGCTCCAAATGGAATGGAGCAGTTAAGAACCACAAGATATTCCTGTTTACTTTTGGGAGTAAGTTAATTCAGTAGGGCCGAGAAACAAAATTGGATTACACTATCACTAATAACAATGAATAAGCTTAAAATACACATACAATGTCCTTTGTTGAGAAGCTCTCTCTCCTAAATAAATTTTACCCTCACCCAAGGAAATGGTTTGGAAACTGCCCAAACTTCTAACGATGTTTGCTTTGTAGAAATTCAAAGTTTAATCACGAGTAAATGCCAAGTAATATATAAATGGTCTTTTCCCCCAGAAGAAAAACAGCAAATACATAAATATCAAGTTGTGACATTTACAAAGAGAATGAAGGCTGGCCTACGTGATAGATGGTTAGGAGGAAGTAGGAATGAATAATGATTTCCTGCTGTTTATTTCAGGTCTCCCAGTTTTAAACTCTCTTTCTTTTTTTTATTTTTATTTTTACGACAAACAAAACAACAAATAAAACCAACTTTCAATTATACAGTGTGTCGGTTTGGTATATATGTCGTGTGCTCAATATTTATAAACCTGCCTTCTTATGGTACAAGGGAACTAAAACACAGGGGTATTTCAGAAGAGATTATATCCGAGAGGCTTTGTTATTAAACTGGGAGAAGATTAAAAAGCAATATTATTTAAAAATTCCAGTCTGGTTATCAACTATTGAAGTTATCAACTATTCATATCCAATAACATATAAAAAGGAACAACCAGTTAGATATGGTGAAATATTGAATGGAAAGGGTGAACTTAAATCTATGCAAGAACTAGAAGAACAAGGTACAAGGATGAATTGGTTTTCATATGTGCAAATACGTTCTAGATATGACAAAGATCTTAAAACAGAAGGTTTTCATGATAAACTGACTGACTCAGATAAAATTTTGACAGGTACTGATGAAAAGGTGATTAAAAAACTATACGGACA